TTAATGTTTCGCTGTTCGTCGTCGGCTAAGTTATCTCGGAAAGTAGCTGCTAGGTAGGAGCTTTTGCCAAGTTGTGCAAGCAAAAGGAGGGAGAGTTAGAGAGGGGGGAGACAGATATTTGTGTGGGATAAGTGGCAGGAAATACATCAAATCGAATACTCGAAAATGAGCGATAAAGCTTATCAAAACACCCATCCTACACTTTGCCAACCAATCCATAATAAATCAGATTGAAGTGGATATAAGGTACAGCCCCCAAATCATTCTACCGCCGCAGGACAGGATGCCGTTGGTTGATTGTGCTGCCCACCAGTTGTCGCATGTCATTGCAACTTTCGATTTCTGAATCGAAATAGTTTGTCAGGGCACATGACAAGTGATTGTTGCCAGTGCTCTCTCTTTCACTCTCTCTCTCTCTCTCTCTCTCTGGTCGTATGGTTGTCGTGTCGTTACCATTGTTACCGTTGTGCGGACAGTTGGAGTTTGGGTGGTTGATCGCTCGTCAAGCCGTGACAATTTTCCAATTGCATTTCGTCAAAAAGTGTTCGTTGTTGAATTTTTTCGGGCAGCAAATTGCTATTAAATTGCCACACAATTGCAAAATGCCATAAATCGAATGGGATTGAAATGAAACGAAATGAAACGAATCGAATCGAAGCTCGAGTTGGGTTCCGTTCCACACTTTCATGTCCAACATGGAGTACGAATGTTTCAAGTCCATGTCCATGTTGTGACCCGCACTCCCACACTTCAGAGTTGGAATTTAATGGCCTGGTTTTCCGCTTGGTTAACTCAATTTGCGTGGCTTCTTTCAATTAGGTTTCCGCTCGGTTCCCTCTGTCTGGTCTCTCCCGCTCTCTCCCCTCTCTCTCTCTCTCTTCCTCATTTCACTTAAATATATAGAAAATTTGTTATTTGTTTATTTGTCGCAAATAAAATGACAGCGGGAGAGTTCCATTTAAAGAGTTTTATTTTTGTTGTTTTGTTTTTATTTTTATAGATTTTTCGTTGAACTCGTAAAATGAGAAATGTTAAATTAGAGTCTGCCGCAAATGAGTTTGACGACAGACAGGGGGAACGGGCCAGTGGCAGGTGCAGCAGTCTGACCCAAGCCCAACCCTCAATGGCTGCACCCCCAATGGTGGGGGGTCTTCGCATCAGTAACCCAAAACCCAAAAAACCAAAAATCGTTGCTAATCAATAATGAAACGCTGATGAATCAATTAAATGGCATTTGGGCTCCATAAGCACCAGCCATTTATCACACGGGGCATAAAGAAGCTGCCAACGAGTCCGCCTAAAGTCATTAAAATTCGTCGTCTGCGACGATGTCTCCTTATCCTACCCGCCTTATCCACACGGCTGCAACATGCATCAAAATAACAGCAGAGGAGACTCAGCGGTGGAAGTGGTTGTTGCCGGCCCTCACAACGATAAACGCAGAAATTATTTCAATCAAATAATGCGAGTTTAATGTGACATCCGACAGGCGACAAGCGACAGAGACAGAGACTCGGAAAGAGAACTGCGAGGAGTGCAGCCAACAAGCCAATAAATGCCAGGAAGAAGGCCAAGAACGGACCGCACAAAAGCCAAAAAGTGTGGGGGAGAACTGCGACTAGAAGGTAGCGAGAAGTGGGAATGCTCTTTCGATGGTTTCTATGTTGCTCTTCGATGGATCAGTAGAGATAGCTCCTTTCGTATCGCTACAAAGTTAGTTCTTGTAATTTATGAATTCACCTTAGCAATTGGCTTCGGTTTAGTCACTGATTCCCCTCAATTAATTAAATATTCCTTAAGCACCTTAAACCCTTTACATACTTACAATCGTAAACCCAACTAAGCTGCCCAATAATCTTTCTCAGTTTCATTCTGCACGTGTTAACTCATCTTTAACCCATCCCGAAGCTGCTTCTTGATACCTGCTGGCAGTTTCAAGTCTTCCCGCTGTCCAGTTTGATGTGACAGCAGTGTACCCTCTTCGTGTCAAGAGAGTCACAGCTTCCCCTCTTCTAAACGGTGTCCCAGCTCTTGCTGTCAAAGAGTCCCATCTCCCTCTCCTGCTGTCAGTGAGTTCCAGCTCCCTCATTGCACACCAAATGACGCATTATTGAACTGTCAATGGAAGTGACAAAGGGTTAAACAATGTCACCATCGACCATCATCATAGTTATACATTTATTTATTTGAACCCTGCACAAACAAGGGTGAGTGATGGATGGATAATGGGTAACTGGTATCGAAAAGATGTGATTATAATCAACATTTGTTAGCATTTTTAGAGCTTTAGAACCATAATTTCCTGCACTATCTGAAACCACAAAAGTTTTGCTTATAAACTTGAGTTATTCTTCAAGTCAGTTTTCCGCCCAAAGGCAATCGCATATTTCCGGAATGAGCCGAAAGATGTTGCCAATTGAGTGAGGCGTCTGTCTCACCTTGCTATTGCCTGGGGACCTCAAGCCGAACCTGGGCTTGGTCTTGACTCTTCAGTGGGTCAGTGTCATCATCGGACTTGCTGGAGCATCAAATGCCCGTTGGCCAATAAAACCCAACACTTTCCTATGGGTGTGTGCGGACTGTCCTGTGTCTCATCTTCTACGTTTCGGCTACGAAGTTTTGAGTGGGATATGGAGATGGAGTTGGAGGAGGCTCACGTCACTTTTCGTGTTTGATAAGGATCCGCAATCGGAGAAGGAGAAACGAAGACAAGACAAGGCGAAGGCGAAGGCAAAGGCGTACGTACGTACGGTCAAATATATTGGAATTTTATTATGCATGACAGCTCCAAAAAAGAACAAAAAACCGAACAATGGACACTCCCCCGAATGAACAACAAGGAGCGGTTGGGTCAGAACTGAGACCTCAGACCCTGGACTCTGCACTGGCCCTGGCCCTGGCTCTAGCTGCTTACCTGTTTGACAGCGGGTTGCCCCGTTGGATACCAAAATGCTTAGCCATGTGAGAAAAGATTGCGTTATTCATATTTTAATTTTACTTGTACCAAAAAAATGTTCCTTCACTCTTTTTTTTTTCCACCAGTTTTTTGTATCATCTTTGCCCCTTTTTTCATATTTTTGTTGTATTTTGATTATTATTCGTTTATTTTTTGTGTGTATTTTGGAAAACGATTCTTGAATATCGATAAGGTGGCAAGGCGGAACGGAATGTTCTTCGCTTTGTTGTTGCTTTGTGGGATGATTATGTAAGTTTTGTCGGGGGGGGGGGAACATCGATTTATATTTTGACAAATGATTTCCCAATGAGTTGACAGTTTTCAGTATTCGAGTTAATAATAAGAGAGAGAGAGAGAGAGGAGGAGGCAACATGTATTTAATTAATTAAGCCGCGTCAAAGAAACACCCAACATCGAAAGGCAATAAGAGAGGGCCAATAATGAAAAAATATTCGGGCTTGTTAGCGTTACAAAAATATCCACAAAATCTCCGCTCTAAAAAATATTCATAGAATTGATGATAAAAGCCATAGAACTCTGCGCTAAAAAATATCCACAAAATTGTTGATAAAAACAACAGAACTCCGCTCTATAAAGTGTAGCTATAACCCATAAAATTACTCACAAAATTGCTAACTAATGGAATAACTTGACTCTTAAATGAATATTACTCACAAAGAAACAATTAATAATACCATTAAATCCATTTGCACAATGGAAATTACACAAATCGGCAAATTGGAGCTGTTGCGTGGTGCAGATGCAATTTATAACAAATTTCAACAAATTATTTGGTAATTTCATAAACGTTTCCACTTATTCTCTGGGCAAATATTGCATTTGTTAAGTGATTTGCAGAATAAATACAAGTACAGTCCGCAGGGACCAGCAGTTGACCAGAGTTTGTGCCAACAGCAACAAATAAATTAAGCAGCAAACAAAGTAAAATGTCGACAACATTTAACATTAATGGAGAGTCCTATACAGGTGGGTAAAAGGATAGATATAAGAATATCCTGGCAATTATTTCTACCCCATAAATTCCTCTCCCTCTGCCCACAGTGAACCTCGCTGATCTCCCACCAGACATCACCCTAAACACCTTCATCAGGGAACATGCCCAACTGACGGCCACGAAGTTCATGTGCCTGGAGGGAGGATGTGGTGCCTGTGTGTGCGTTGTGCGCGATGCCAATGGACCCAGAGCCATCAATTCGGTTGGGTTCAAAGATCAACTGAATCATTCCAAACTCTAACAATGAGCTCCCATCGCTTTGCAGTGCCTCAAACTACTGAATACCTGCGCCCAGCTGGAGATCGTTACGTGCGAGGGTTTGGGCAGCCAACGCAGCGGCTATCACCCGATACAGAAGCGTCTGGCCAAGATGAATGGCACCCAGTGTGGGTATTGCTCCCCGGGATTCGTGATGAACATGTACGGGCTGCTGGAGCAGCACCAGGGACAGGTGAGCATGGCGGAGGTGGAGAACTCATTCGGAGGCAACATCTGCCGCTGCACCGGCTACCGTCCCATACTGGATGCCATGAAGTCCTTTGCGGTGGATAGTGACATTCAGGTGCCCGCGGAATGTGCGGACATTGAGGATCTTAGCCTGGAGGCCCGCAACTGTCCCAAGACGGGAGAGCCCTGCAGCGGCAGTTGTCATCGTTCCACTTTGATCTACGAGGATGGCAGCCAGTGGCATTGGCCCAAGACATTGAAGGAGCTGTTTGAGGCACTGGACAAGATCGGAGAGGCGGATGAGTTCATGCTGGTGGCTGGCAACACGGCGCATGGTGTCTACAGGCGATCGACGGACATTAAGCACTTCATCGATGTGAGTGGAGTGGAGGAGCTGCATGGACACAGCACTGAGGGGCAGCAGCTGAAGCTGGGAGCGAACCTCAGTCTGACGCAGACCATGGACATCCTGCGCAAGACATCCAAGCAGCCTGGCTTTGAGTATCTCGAGGTTCTGTGGAACCACTTGGATCTCATTGCGAATGTTCCCGTGCGAAATGTGAGTGTGGAATCCGTCCTAAGGGAAGATCATCTGNTCACCCGATACAGAAGCGTCTGGCCAAGATGAATGGCACCCAGTGTGGGTATTGCTCCCCGGGATTCGTGATGAACATGTACGGGCTGCTGGAGCAGCACCAGGGACAGGTGAGCATGGCGGAGGTGGAGAACTCATTCGGAGGCAACATCTGCCGCTGCACCGGCTACCGTCCCATACTGGATGCCATGAAGTCCTTTGCGGTGGATAGTGACATTCAGGTGCCCGCGGAATGTGCGGACATTGAGGATCTTAGCCTGGAGGCCCGCAACTGTCCCAAGACGGGAGAGCCCTGCAGCGGCAGTTGTCATCGTTCCACTTTGATCTACGAGGATGGCAGCCAGTGGCATTGGCCCAAGACATTGAAGGAGCTGTTTGAGGCACTGGACAAGATCGGAGAGGCGGATGAGTTCATGCTGGTGGCTGGCAACACGGCGCATGGTGTCTACAGGCGATCGACGGACATTAAGCACTTCATCGATGTGAGTGGAGTGGAGGAGCTGCATGGACACAGCACTGAGGGGCAGCAGCTGAAGCTGGGAGCGAACCTCAGTCTGACGCAGACCATGGACATCCTGCGCAAGACATCCAAGCAGCCTGGCTTTGAGTATCTCGAGGTTCTGTGGAACCACTTGGATCTCATTGCGAATGTTCCCGTGCGAAATGTGAGTGTGGAATCCGTCCTAAGGAAGATCATCTGATTTAACATTCTCTTCCTTTGCAGTCGGGCACTTTGGCTGGAAATATTTCGATCAAGAAACAACATCCCGAGTTCCCATCGGATGTGTTTCTCTCCTTTGAGGCTTTGGATGTCAAAGTTGTGGCCATGAAGAGCGCCACGGAAGAGCAGCAAATGGCTCTGGCGGATTACTTGAGTGATTCCAATAGGAAATTGGTCATCAAGGAGTTCCTGCTGTCTGCATATCCCAAGGATAAGTTTATCTACGAGTCCTACAAGGTGAACATGAGGGAAATGTCAATCAATTGCTTACTCTTAAAGGTCTCTCTTCCCTTTGTAGATCATGCCACGTGCCCAGAATGCCCATGCCTATGTCAATGCTGCATTTCTGCTCGAGCTGGACAGCGGTTCCAAGGTGAAGAGTGCCAGGATCTGCTTTGGTGGCATTCGCCCTGACTTTGTCCACGCCACAGCCATTGAGCAGTTGATGGTGGGACACAGTCCCTACGAGAGTGGCCTCATAGAACAGACTTTCGACACACTCCCAAGTCAGTTCAATCCAGATGAGGTGCTGCCCGATGCCAGTCCGGCGTATCGGTCGAAATTGGCTTGCGGTTTGCTCTACAAGTTTCTGCTGAAGCATGCCCCAGATGCAGACGTCGGAGAGAAGTTCAAGAGCGGCGGCCAGCTTCTGCAGCGACAACTCTCCTCCGGTCTGCAGCTATTCCAGACACAAAAGCAGAACTATCCAGTCACTCAGGCAGTGCAGAAGTTGGAGGGAATGATCCAGTGTTCTGGCGAGGCGACCTACATGAACGATGTGCCGACCACCTCCAACACCGTTCACTGTGCCTTTGTAGGGGCCACTAAAGTGGGAGCCACCATCGATGACATTGATGCCAGAGAGGCGCTGCTGCAGCCTGGTGTGATAGCATTCTACTGTGCGAAGGATATACCCGGTGCAAACACCTTTTCTGATCCCAGCTTTGGCTATCAGCCCGAGGAGATCTTTTGCTCCGGACTGGTGCGCCACTCCGAACAACCAGCGGGAGTGGTCGTGGCACTCACTGCAGATCAGGCTCAGCGGGCAGCAGCGCTGGTCAAGATTAGCTACAGTCAGACGAACTCTGACTTCAAACTGTTGCCCAGCCTGAAGCATGTCTTTGCCTCTGGCACACCGGACCCTTCACGCATCATTGCAGTGGCCAAATCGAAGCTAGAGGAAGTGACATTCTCCGACAAGCCTGACATGGAGGTCAGGGGCATCTTCGACATGGGTTTACAGTATCACTTTACGATGGAGCCACAAACGACGGTCGTGATTCCCTTTGAAGATGGTTTAAAGGTTTACTCCGCTACCCAATGGATGGACCACACGCAGGCTGTGATTGCACACATGCTGCAGATGAAGGCCAAAGATGTGCAGCTGCAGGTGAGTTTTAGCTTTGAATTTCGAAGATTTTCGCTAACAAATCCCCCATGCAGGTTCGTCGTCTGGGCGGTGGCTATGGCTCCAAGATATCCCGCGGCAATCAGGTCGCCTGTGCCGCTGCCTTGGCTGCCTTTAAGCTGAATCGTCCTGTGCGCTTTGTGCAGTCTCTCGAGTCCATGATGGACTGCAATGGCAAACGTTGGGCCTGTCGCTCTGAATACGAGTGCCACGTGAAGGCCAGTGGCAAGATGGTGGGCCTGTCCAATGATTTCTATGAGGATGCTGGCTGGAACACCAACGAGAGTCCGGTGGAGGGTCACTCCACCTACACGGCTGGCAATTGCTACGAGTTCACGGACAGAAACTTCAAGCTCAGTGGCCATGAGGTGCTCACAGATGCACCCAGCTCCACGTGGTGTCGTGCCCCAGGCTCTGTGGAGGGTCTGGCCATGATGGAGAACATCATCGAGCATGTGGCCTTTGAGGTGCAGCGTGATCCGGCAGATGTGCGTCTGGCAAACATCAACAAGAAGACAAAGATGGCCACGCTGCTGCCAGAGTTCCTGCAGTCGCGGGAGTACTATGCCAGGAAAAAGGAGATCGATGCGCACAACGCGAACAATCGCTGGACGAAGCGAGGTCTCGGCCTTGCCGTCATGAATTTTCCCGTCATTTACATAGGACAGTTTCCGGCTACGGTGGCCATTTACCATGTGGATGGCACTGTTGTGGTTACACACGGAGGCATTGAAATGGGACAAGGTAGGGCGGAACTTCCATCTGTGTTTAAATGCTCCTTGAATCCTTCTCGATCACTCCTTCCAGGCATGAACACAAAGATCGCCCAAGTGGCTGCCTATACTTTGGGCATCGATTTGAGTTACATCAAAGTTGAGTCCTCGGACACCATCAATGGCGCCAATTCCATGGTGACGGGCTATGCCATTGGCAGTGAGAGTGTCTGTTATGCGGTGCGCAAGATCTGCGACACACTCAACACACGTCTGAAGCCCGTGCGGAAGAGCAAGGCCAGCTGGGTGGAGACCGTTGAAGCCGCCAATGCGGCGTTGATCAATCTGATTGCCTCGGATCACTACAAAACGGGTGACATGCAGAATTATCATGTGCTAGGACTGGCCCTCTCTGAAATCGAAATGGATGTGCTCACCGGCAACATTGTGATACGCCGCGTCGACATCCTCGAGGATGCTGGCGAGAGTCTCAGTCCGTATATTGATGTCGGGCAGATCGAGGGCGCCTTTGTCATGGGCCTGGGCTACTGGCTCAGCGAACTGCTCATCTACGAGGGCGACAATGGCCGCCTGCTGACCAATCGCACCTGGAATTACCATCCACTGGGCGCCAAGGACATTCCCATCGATTTCCGCATTGAGCTGGTGCACAATCCCAAGCCCAATGGCGCGGGTTTTATGCGTTCCAAGACCACTGGAGAGCCGCCCTGTTGCCTGGCTGTGAGTGTGATTTTTGCCCTACAACAGGCACTGCAATCCGCTCGCCAGGATGCAGGACTGCCACGGGAGTGGCTGCGGCTAGGAGCGCCAACAACGCCCGAGACGCTGCTGCTCAGCGCGGGCCATGAGGTGACGGATTTTAAGCTGAAATAGGTATGGTATGAATATAAATTATGAACTCTTCTGAGTGTTGTATGTAGCCACGTTTCGCTCACCTTTTCCTATTTAAGTTGTTTTGCAGCACCCAAATGAATAGCTCTTTAAATTATCTTTGGTTGTGGATCGCCGCTCTCAAAATAAACAACAGCATTGCCAGATCTGCTTCAACGCAAAAGCTTCAGTGATTTGTACATTTTCTCTCTTCCCACATACCTGCATACATACATGCATGCCATGAAAGCTTCACGTGTCGTCCCGTTTTGTTTTGTGTGTGTTCCGTTCCGCTCTCTCACGACTAACACTAATTATTCGGCAGCGCAACACTTTTTCAATTGCTGTTTAACTTTTGACTCTGTTCGAACGCTTGACTTGAGTGTTTTAATTAATATCACTTTAAAGCTTGTTTTTCTAGTTTTTCGAATGTTGAAGCTTTTCGAAAACAATTTTTGTTGTGGCTGCAAAACATTGCTGAGAGTGAGAATGGTAGAGGAAGGAGAGCGCAACAAAATTTGCTATTATGCCGGCCGGCAAATGCTTGCCCACTCTCTCACACACATTCTCTCACGCGCTCTCTCTCTCTCTCTCTTTTAAACTCTTGAGAAACTTTACTGTAATTACAAAGAGCACATCTTCTATGAGTACACTTCTGTTTTGGGTGTACACGTGACTCGTTATTGCGTTTAATTCAAATCAAATGCAGATTAGTCTGTTCGGTTTGAAAACTCATTAAATAAACACAAAGCAAATATATATAAATGGTTAGACGTTGAAAAGGCAGATATAACGACTTTAATCCACAGTGTGCAATCAAAAATAAATACAAGTTTGTATGTGCATTTGCAACTCCAACAAAGCCTATCTTACTTGTATTTGTATATAGTAATTTGTTGACTCAACGAAGCGCCAAACGTTTTTTAGGGTAGGGTATCTCAAGGGTACATTTGTACGTTGGTAGAACCAATTTCTATTCATTAAAAAATGTCCATTAACAACTCTCTGAATATATTTGTTAGAAATGTACACCTAGAATAGTTTTTTAAATAAATTTACCAAGCTGCAAAACGTCATTGGTTTATCCATTCGCTCATAATTTCAGCACAAAGTGTATTCCCTGCTTCGTTGCAACCAAAGCTTGACCGCTTTTTCTTTTAATTTTTTTTTTGCTATTCTCGCAAGTATCGTGACCAGGCGGCACAGCTGCCAAAACACAGCAACAAAAAACAGCTGACGAATGGCGAACAAAAAAAGAAGGCAAAGAAACAATCAGAAGCCAAAGCGCGGCACGGCAGAATCGCCAAACAGTTTTCACGGAGCAGCAGCTGAAACGAAAACGAAACTAAACGAAACGGAACGCAACGGAGCTGTGGAGGCGCGAATAGACTGCAATTATTTCCGATCGGCGATTGCAAGGCATGAAAATTTAACAAAATTATTGTTAATTTATACAGAGTTCCCGTCCAACTGACATTTATTTACGGCTGCCATACACAAAAACGGCAATCAAACTCCGTTGAACAGATCATCAAGAGGAGGCGATGGTGATTGGAGCGATCGTTCAGTTAAGCAACGACAGTGCTTGAGGCAGGCAGCATTTCGCAGTGGAACGAACGCCAGACGGAAAATATTTGAAAAGTGGCAACTAACTGAATTATTTTTAGAAGAAAACATTAGCAGCTGACATTTGAGTGATATTTTGTTGTTGTGTTAACTAGCAAAATGACGACGAAATTTACAATCAATGGGCAGCCGTATACGGGTGAGTTTTTACAGCAAGTAACTGATGGTGCAAAGACATTACAATTTACATATCTACATATAAACAGACATATAAATATGTATGTACATATTTAATAATATAAAGATCATCCTTTAGTTAGTTAAACTTGTATGTTTCGGAGTTTCTTCTGGATGGTTGGAATCATTATGAAATTATCTTAAAATACCTAAATAATAATAACAATAAAAATAATAACAATAATAATAATAAAAACAGTAATAATAATAATAACAATAATAATAATAATAATAATCTACAAAAACTAAATTCAATTTCATCATAATTCATCAAGATGAAAGCTTTAGCTTCTATGAGAGCTTCTGAAAGCTCTCTTTACTGTCTTTTTTTTGTACCAAAAAGTGAAAAAAGATTCTATGCCCATTGTATTCCCATATTTATGTATTGTCTGCCTGCAGTCTCCAATGACTCCGTAACAATGACTAAACAATTCTGTTGTAAACAAATTGTAGTGTTTACAAACTTGATCATATATCATTTATTATGATATGATAAGGCTAGTAATAATACCAGTCAAGTATGATACAAATGCACTTGACACTGCACGCAATCGTTGACCAACTGTAAGCCCCTTCATTTAGCACACATTTTCCCTGTCTGTTTTCCACAGTGAATCTCACCAATCTGCCACCCGACATCACTCTGAATACCTTCATCCGAGAGCATGCCCAACTGACGGCCACGAAGTTCATGTGCCAGGAGGGAGGATGCGGAGCCTGCGTTTGCGTACTCCGCAATGGAACCCGCAGCTGGGCTGTTAATTCGGTTCGTATTCCGATCCTTTTGAGTCGCTTATTTAACCTCTAACCACAAATCTTTTATCTTCTCTCCTTTGCAGTGCTTGACGCTGCTGAATACCTGCGCCCAGCTGGAGATCGTCACTGCCGAGGGGTTGGGCAATCAGCGCACCGGCTATAATCCAATACAGAAGCGTCTGGCCAAGATGAATGGCACCCAGTGTGGGTATTGCTCCCCGGGATTCGTGATGAACATGTACGGGCTGCTGGAGCAGCACCAGGGACAGGTGAGCATGGCGGAGGTGGAGAACTCATTCGGAGGCAACATCTGCCGCTGCACCGGCTACCGTCCCATACTGGATGCCATGAAGTCCTTTGCGGTGGATAGTGACATTCAGGTGCCCGCGGAATGTGCGGACATTGAGGATCTTAGCCTGGAGGCCCGCAACTGTCCCAAGACGGGAGAGCCCTGCAGCGGCAGTTGTCATCGTTCCACTTTGATCTACGAGGATGGCAGCCAGTGGCATTGGCCCAAGACATTGAAGGAGCTGTTTGAGGCACTGGACAAGATCGGAGAGGNGGGTAAAAGGATAGATATAAGAATATCCTGGCAATTATTTCTACCCCATAAATTCCTCTCCCTCTGCCCACAGTGAACCTCGCTGATCTCCCACCAGACATCACCCTAAACACCTTCATCAGGGAACATGCCCAACTGACGGCCACGAAGTTCATGTGCCTGGAGGGAGGATGTGGTGCCTGTGTGTGCGTTGTGCGCGATGCCAATGGACCCAGAGCCATCAATTCGGTTGGGTTCAAAGATCAACTGAATCATTCCAAACTCTAACAATGAGCTCCCATCGCTTTGCAGTGCCTCAAACTACTGAATACCTGCGCCCAGCTGGAGATCGTTACGTGCGAGGGTTTGGGCAGCCAACGCAGCGGCTATCACCCGATACAGAAGCGTCTGGCCAAGATGAATGGCACCCAGTGTGGGTATTGCTCCCCGGGATTCGTGATGAACATGTACGGGCTGCTGGAGCAGCACCAGGGACAGGTGAGCATGGCGGAGGTGGAGAACTCATTCGGAGGCAACATCTGCCGCTGCACCGGCTACCGTCCCATACTGGATGCCATGAAGTCCTTTGCGGTGGATAGTGACATTCAGGTGCCCGCGGAATGTGCGGACATTGAGGATCTTAGCCTGGAGGCCCGCAACTGTCCCAAGACGGGAGAGCCCTGCAGCGGCAGTTGTCATCGTTCCACTTTGATCTACGAGGATGGCAGCCAGTGGCATTGGCCCAAGACATTGAAGGAGCTGTTTGAGGCACTGGACAAGATCGGAGAGGCGGATGAGTTCATGCTGGTGGCTGGCAACACGGCGCATGGTGTCTACAGGCGATCGACGGACATTAAGCACTTCATCGATGTGAGTGGAGTGGAGGAGCTGCATGGACACAGCACTGAGGGGCAGCAGCTGAAGCTGGGAGCGAACCTCAGTCTGACGCAGACCATGGACATCCTGCGCAAGACATCCAAGCAGCCTGGCTTTGAGTATCTCGAGGTTCTGTGGAACCACTTGGATCTCATTGCGAATGTTCCCGTGCGAAATGTGAGTGTGGAATCCGTCCTAAGGGAAGATCATCTGATTGAATATTATCTTCCTTTGCAGTCGGGCACTTTGGCTGGAAATATTTCGATCAAGAAACAACATCCCGAGTTCCCATCGGATGTGTTTCTCTCCTTTGAGGCTTTGGATGTCAAAGTTGTGGCCATGAAGAGCGCCACGGAAGAGCAGCAAATGGCTCTGGCGGATTACTTGACTGATTCCAATAGGAAATTGGTCATCAAGGAGTTCCTGCTGTCTGCCTATCCCAAGGATAAGTTTATCTACGAGTCCTACAAGGTAAACGTGAGGGAAATATCAATCAATTGCTTACTCTTAAAGGTCTCTCTTCCATTTGTAGATCATGCCACGTGCCCAGAATGCCCATGCCTATGTCAATGCTGCATTTCTGCTCGAGCTGGACAGCGGTTCCAAGGTGAAGAGTGCCAGGATCTGCTTTGGTGGCATTCGCCCTGACTTTGTCCACGCCACAGCCATTGAGCAGTTGATGGTGGGACACAGTCCCTACGAGAGTGGCCTCATAGAACAGACTTTCGACACACTCCCAAGTCAGTTCAATCCAGATGAGGTGCTGCCCGATGCCAGTCCGGCGTATCGGTCGAAATTGGCTTGCGGTTTGCTCTACAAGTTTCTGCTGAAGCATGCCCCGAGCTCGGAGGTCGCGGAGAACTTCAAGAGTGGCGGTCAGATTCTGCAGCGTCCATTATCGTCGGGTCTGCAGGTGTACCAGACCCAGAAGCAGAACTATCCCGTAACCCAGGCCGTGCAGAAGGTCGAAGGCATGATCCAGTGCTCGGGAGAAGCGACTTACATGAACGATGTGCTGACTCCATCCAATACGGTGTACTGCGCCTTCGTGGGAGCCACCAAAGTGGGAGCCACAATCGATGCAATTGATGCCAAGGAGGCCTGCAAGCATCCGGGTGTCCTGGCCTTCTACAGTGCCAAGGATTTGCCTGGCACAAACACTTTCTGTGAGCCAAGTTTTGGCTACGAGGCGGAGGAGATCTTCTGCGCTGGAATCGTGCGTCATTCGGAGCAACCTGCGGGTGTGATTGTAGCCTTGACTGCCGATCAGGCTCAGCGTGCAGCAAAACTGGTGAAGATCTCGTACAGCAAGGCGAGCGCGGACTTCCAGCTGATGCCCAGCATTGGGGATGTCTTTACTGAGGAAATTCCGGACCCTTCACGCATCATTGCAGTGGCCAAATCGAAGCTAAAGGAAGTGACATTCTCCGACACACCCGATAAGGAAGTTCGAGGCGTTTTCCAGATGGGTCTGCAGTATCACTTCACAATGGAGCCACAAACGACGGTCGTGATTCCCTTTGAGGATGGTTTGAAGGTCTTTTCGGCTACCCAATGGATGGACCACACGCAGGCAGTCATTGCACACATGCTGCAGATGAAGGCCAAGGATGTGCAGCTGCAGGTGAGTTTTCTCTCTATCTGCAAGTGTTTCGCTCATCAATCCCCCTACAGGTTCGTCGCTTGGGCGGTGCCTATGGCGCCAAGATCTCCCGCGGCAATCAGGTCGCCTGTGCCGCTGCCTTGGCTGCCTTCAAGCTGAATCGTCCGGTGCGCTTCGTGCAGTCTCTCGAGTCCATGATGGACTGCAACGGCAAACGCTGGGCCTGTCGCTCCGACTATCAGTGTCACGTCAAGGCCAACGGCAAGATTGTTGGCCTGTCCAACGATTTCTACGAGGATGCTGGCTGGGTGAACAACGAGAGTCCCATCGAGGGACACTCCACGCTGACAGCCACCAATTGCTACGACTTTACGGGCGTCAACTTCAAGAACAATGGCAATGCGGTGATCACTGATGCACCCAGCTCCACGTGGTGTCGTGCCCCTGGGTCTGTGGAGGGCATTGCCATGATGGAGAACATCATCGAGCATGTGGCCTTTGAGGTGCAGGCGGATCCGGCAGCTGTGCGACTCCTCAACATTGCCGCAACGAACAAAATGTCGGAGCTGTTGCCGCAGTTCCTGGCCTCGCGGGAGTACGACACGCGGAAGAAGGAGATCGAGGAGCACAATGCCAAGAATCGCTGGCTAAAGCGCGGCCTGGGTCTGGCCGTTATGGACTATCCCATATTCTACTTTGGACAATATCCCGCCACTGTGGCCATCTACCATATGGATGGAACTGTTGTGGTCAGCCATGGAGGCATCGAAATGGGGCAAGGTGGGGATTATACACTTTGCTTTCATTTTCTCTATTAATATTTGCTCCTATTCCAACAGGCATGAACACGAAGGTGGCTCAGGTAGCTGCCTACACTTTGGGCATCGATTTGAGCTTCATCAAAGTGGAGTCATCGGACACCATCAATGGCGCAAACTCCATGGTCACTGGCGGTGCTTTGGGCAGCGAGAGTCTCTGTTTTGCGGTGCGCAAAACCTGTGAGATCCTCAACGCACGCCTGCAGCCGGTGAAGAAGAACGGCGACAGCTGGCTGCAGACTGTGGGCGCTGCCTATGGCAAGTCCATCAATCTGATTGCCTCCGATCACTACAAGGAGGGTGACATGGAGAACTATCATGTGTATGGCATGGCCCTGACCGAAATCGAGTTGGATGTGCTCACGGGCAACAATCAAATCAAACGCGTGGACATCCTGGAGGATGCTGGCGAGAGTCTCAGTCCGTTAATTGACATTGGGCAGGTGGAGGGCGCCTTTGTCATGTGTCTGGGCTACTGGCTGAGCGAACAGTTGGTCTACGATCGCGAAACGGGTCGACTGCTCACCAACCGCTCGTGGAACTACAAGCCGCCGGGGGCCAAGGATATACCTATTGATTTTCGCGTTGAATTGGCGCAGAAACCCAATCCCAATGGACCGGGCTTTATGCGTTCCAAGGCCACCGGAGAGCCGCCTTGCTGTCTGGCTGTCAGCGTGGTTTTTGCGCTGCAGCAGGCTCTGCAATCGGCACGACAGGATGCGGGTCTGCCGCGGGAGTGGGTGCGTCTGGGTGCGCCCACCACACCCGAGACTTTGGTGCTGAATGCGGGACATGAGGCGACGAGCTTTAGGCTTAAGTAAATGATCATTTTGGTTGGGTTTTTCTTTTGTTTTCTTTACATAATTATTCCAAATATATTTACTCTGCGCTTGGTGCACTTTTTGCCACACAATTGCCACCTGTTTGTGTCTGCAATTAGCTTGAAGATTTCGCACAGTGCTGGCTGTGGCTCTGCCGGGAACTCGTTTGGCCTAATTAACGGGTAATCAGGTTTCCCGCTGCGCTGCTTTGAAATAGAAGCGAATGGCCAAGAGCTCACACCATTTGGCCAGCGACGCTGCAACGATGAGCATCAAGTTCAATGTGAATGGCTACCCCTACGAGGTGCAGGCAGCAGACTATGCCCCGGACCTAACACTCAACGCATTCCTGCGCCAGCATCTTCATCTGACGGCCACCAAGTACATGTGCCTGGAGGGCGGCTGTGGCTCCTGTGTGTGTGTCATACGACGACGCCAGCCGGCCACCAACGAGGTGCAGTCGAGAGCTGCCAATTCGGTGAGTACACGGATTGGCTTACCCTCTCGCTTGGTTGCTAATAAAACTTTATTTCAAGTGCCTGACGCTGCTGAACACCTGCAATGATGTGGATATCATAACGGACGAGGGTTTGGGCAATCAACTGAGCGGCTATCATCCCATTCAGAAGCGTCTGGCGCAGCTGAATGGCACCCAGTGTGGGTACTGCTCGCCGGGATTCGTGATGAACATGTACGGACTGCTGGAGCAGCATCGCGGGCAGGTGAGCATGGCCCAGGTGGAGGATGCATTTGGTGGCAACATTTGCCGCTGCACCGGCTATCGTCCCATCTTGGATGCCATGAAATCGTTTGCCGTGGACAGCGATATTCAGGTGCCTGCCGAATGTGTGGACATTGAGGACTCCTTCGAGCTGCTGTGTCCACGAACGGGACAATCCTGTCAAGGCAGCTGCACGCGACCAGCGCGCAGACAGGACTCCAGCGTACACTGGTACTGGCCCAAGACGCTGCAGGAGTTGTTCTCCGCGCTCAGCCAGGTGGCGAGTGGAGAATCGTTCTTCCTGGTGGCGGGCAACACAGCGCATGGAGTCTACCGACGACCCAGAGACATACGCCACTACATCGACGTACATGCAGTGCCGGAGCTAAAGCAGCACAGCCTGGAGGCGGATCATCTGCTGCTCGGTGGCAATCTCACACTCACGGATGCCATGGAACAGTTTTTGATAGCCGCCAAGCGGCCGGGCTTCGAGTATTGTGCGCAGTTGTGGCAGCACTTTAACCTGATTGCGAATGTTCCAGTGCGAAATGTGAGTAGAGACAAAAAACTCGTTTCGCCGCTGACCAAGTTTGGTGGATAAAATCAATTAATTAGTAGCAACAACTAGGGGATACTCTAACTGCTTAAGAAACTGTTAGATGCCCCACAAATTGCTGCACTTTAGCCACAGACTCTGTCGCTTTGTTAGGGCATCAGTTTGGCTTTTATTTAACTTTCTCAAATTTCTGTCGCATAGACATTAAATCAAGTCAAGCAGCGCAGCGAAAAAGCAACTATTAATCGTACCAAAAACTCGTTCCTGCAGAATGGCACACTGGCTGGAAATATCAGCATTAAGAAGCAACATCCAGAGTTCCCCTCGGATGTGTTCATCACCTTTGAGGCTTTGGATGTCAATGTGCTGGTCTATGACAATCCCAGCAGTCAGCGTGTGCTGAGTTTGCTCTCCTATCTGACGGATGCCACACCCAAGCTGCTCATTGGTGGCTTCATATTGAGATCGTATGCCAAGGAAAGATATCTCTTTAGCTCCTATAAGGTAAGAAGTTTGGTTCTTCCCTCAAAGATCGTTGCTTAAATGTTCCTACAGATCCTTCCTAGAGCTCAGAATGTGCACGCCTATGTCAATGCGGGTTTCCTCATCGAATGGCAGGATTTGCAGCGGCACATTGTGCGCTCTGCACGCATTTGCTTTGGCAATATTCGAGCCGACTACGTGCACGATCGGCCACTGGAGCAGCTCCTCCCGGGCAGAGATCTCTACGATGCAGCCACAGTCCAACAGATGTTTGAGCAGCTGCGTGGCAGCCTGCAGGCGGAGGAGCGACCGCCGGAGGCCTCGCCCGAGTATCGTGAATTGTTGGCCTGTGGCTTGCTCTACAAATTTCTGCTCAGCTCCGCACCCAAGGAGTTCGTGCGGGAACGCTATCGCAGCGGCGGACAGCTGCTGGAACGCGCGCTGTCCTCGGGCAGTCAGACATTCGAGACGATCAAGAAGAACTATCCAGTGACAGAGCCGGTGCAGAAGCTGGAAGGTGAGTGCCAGAGTCTATGCGGAGAATATCATTTAAAAGTTCTGCCTTGCAGGTCTCATTCAATGCTCCGGCGAGGCCACTTACATGAACGATCTTCTGACCACTTCGAATGCCGTGCACTGTGCCTTTGTCACGGCCAAGCGTGTGGGTGCCACAATCGAGCAGATTGATGCCACAGCGGCGCTGCACTATCCCGGCGTTGTGGCCTTCTATGCGGCCAAGGATATTCCAGGAGTGAATAACTTTGTGACGGTTACACAGCTGACACCCGAGGCGGAGGAGATCTTTGCTGCTGGACCTGTCAAGTACTACGATCAGCCACTGGGTGTAATTGCAGCGTTGTCGCAGGACACGGCTGTCTATGCGGCCAGCCTGGTGGAGGTGACGTACGCCAATAATCAGCGGCAGATCTACACGAGCATCAATCAAGTGCTGGCCGCCAAGCAGCAGGATCGAATTGTTTGTCTGAAAAAGGAGAGTGGCACTCTGAATGCAGCACCTCTGGCCCCAGGGGATGTCTTGGGTCGTGGCATTCTCGAACTGGAGTCGCAGTATCACTTCACCATGGAGCCACAGACAACGATTGTGGTGCCCATGGACAGTGTGCTGCAGGTGTGGAGCTCCACCCAGTGGATGGATGGCACTCAGGGTGCCATTGCCCAAATGCTGAAGGTGAATGTGAACAAAGTGCAGCTGCAGGTGCGTCGCGTGGGCGGTGCGTATGGCGCCAAGGTGACACGCGGCAATCTCGTCGCCTGTGCCGCCGCTTTGGTCGCCTTTAAGCTGAACAAACCCGCCAGATTTGTGCAGACCATTGAGTCCATGATGGAGTGCAATGGCAAGCGTTGGGCTTGCCGTTCGGATTATGAATTTAGGGCCAAGGCCAGTGGTTTGATCACAATGTTAAGCAACAATTACTACGAGGATGCGGGCTGCAGTCTCAATGAGAATGTTGTGGATTTTCTGACACTGCCAGCGCTGAGGAATGTCTACAATCTCACGAATTCTAACTACAAGACCAAGGGGAGTGCTATACGAACAGATGCAGCGAGTTCCACTTGGTGTCGTGCGCCAGGAACGGCAGAGGGTGAGTTTGGATAGGACCTTTCCTTTCTTTAACTAACTCTAAATCCTTTCCAGCCATTGCCATGACGGAAACCGCTCTCGAGCACATTGCTTTCACTTGTCAGCTGGATCCCGCCGATGTGCGTTTGGTCAATCTGCGACCTGGCAGCAAGATGGTGCAGCTGCTACCTCGTTTTTTGGCCACCACGGAGTACCGTCAGCGGAGAGAACAAATCAATTTGTTCAACGCTCAGCATCGTTGGCGCAAGCGCGGCCTCGGACTGACGCTCATGGAGTTTCCGCTGAACACAAGCGTTGGCTTTACGTATCCCACCACGGTGGCCATTTACCACGAGGATGGTTCGGTGGTCATCACACACGGTGGCATAGAGATTGGTCAGGGCATCAATACTAAGGCGGCGCAGGTGGCGGCCTTTGTGCTGGGCGTGCCCCTGGAGCGTGTGAGCGTTGAGAGCAGCAATACGGTGAGTGGAGCCAATTCCATGATCACGGCCAACTCCATGAGCAGCGAAATGATTGGACTGGCGGTGCGCAAGGCCTGCGATACGCTGAACAAACGACTGAAGCCCGTGAAGAAGCGACTGGGTGCGGCAGCCACCTGGTTGCAGATCCTGCAGGCTGCCTACTTGCAGTCGGTTATCCTCATAGCCAGCGATTCGTATAAGCTGGGGGACATACCCAACTACGGCATCTTTGGGCTGAGTCTCTGCGAACTGGAGCTGGACATACTCACGGGCAGCCAGCTGATACGCCGCGTGGACATCCTCGAGGATGCTGGCGAGAGTATCAGCCCCAATATCGATGTGGGCCAGGTGGAGGGTGCCTTTGTCATGGGCCTGGGCTACTATCTAACGGAGCTGCTGCTCTACGATCGCCAGACGGGTCGCATTCTGACCAATCGCACCTGGAACTACCATCCGCCTGGGGCCAAGGATATTCCCATTGATTTTCGCATTGAGCTGCTGCAAAAGAATCCCAATCCGGTGGGTTTTATGCGCTCCAAGGCGACGGGCGAGCCAGCACTCTGTCTCTCTGTGGGCGTGCTCTTTGCCATGCAGCATGCCATACAATCGGCCAGACAGGATGCAGGCTTGCCGCGAGAGTGGGTGCGTCTGGGGGCACCAACCACGCCGGAGACGGTGGTGCTGAATGCAGGCAGCCAAGTGCAGAACTTTGCGCTGAATTGAGATGGGAAGTGGATACCATTTGGAGTGCTTACATGGATTAAATTTTTATTAGAATTTAGTTGGTTGGGGAAATATATTTGCTTATTGATTATATGATTTAATTGCGATCAAACGATCTCTTTCAAGAAACAAAAAACCTTTCATTTGCCTCTTCACAATTCCTAGGAAACTGCGTTATTGGAAGCGCAAATAAAGCTTTCAACTGTTTCCAGTGCCTTATAGAGAGCGAGAGACAAACAGACGCCCACCCTCTGCCCGTAGCCGAAACCAAAGCGATTCACCGGTTTGTTTAGAAACCAAAGCAAGACAGAGAAGTGTAAACAAAAACAATTAGCCGATAAAGCTTCACACACGCAGGTACCTACAAACAAGAGTGAGAGCGTGAGTGTGAGAGTTGTTAAGAGAGTGTCAGAGTTGCTGAGCGAGAGAGAGCGGGGGAGTTCACGCCTCTCGATCGTATGGCAGTTAGAAATGGCAGAGCGCCGGAGCGGAAGCGCCGTTAAACTTGAAATTGCGAGCACACATTTTTGGCTCCGCAATAAATACGCGACTGGTAGAGCCGTAACGTACATTAGCTCCGGGATCGTCGTCAAAAACGTACACGAAGGAACATACAGAAAGAACGCTTGCCTCAACCACGTTGTGAAATTCATAGTTTCTAGAACGCCAGACACCAGTTGTGTTCGAGAAAGCCTGCAATTAATTTCACAATAAATAAAGGCAACCCCTTCCAGCTGATTCCGTGGGATTATATAAGACACCGATAATGGCTGGCAGTATTACAATCAACGGCAACAGCTATGACGGTGAGTGTGTGTTGTTGGTTTTGATTTCTTGATTGAAGTGCCATCGAAAAGATAAAACAAACTACAAACACGTTACTCATATTTTTGGTGTTATTTTTGTATTACAATACACTTAAAAGTGGAATATTTTGTATGGAAGAGCTAATTTGACCTATTTGGGAAGGTTGTATTTATCAGGTCGTTAAGTTAGTTATTATCAGATAATGACATGCACAAAATTCTGTCAATATTAGATGGTAATATGCTTGTAGATAATCATGACATTTCTATGTATATATATGTATATATGTATGTATATCTATGTCCAAATTACTTTTCGACATCTGAACACTCATTAAAATGCTATTAAAGTGTCGAAAAGACTCCAGAAAACATGAAATTTGTGTCTTATAAATAGTATGAAATTATATTTGGTATTAATGCTAAAAGAGTGACTCTACATTTAGCAGTTTAAAAAAAGTTCAAGTGTTTTAGTTGTAGATACATTAGATTAGATTAAATACAGACGGACCGACTGGCCCACTAATCTAATAAAATATTTTCTCTCCCAACAGTTAATCTGGCTGCCCTGCCTGCGGACATCTCGCTGAACACCTTCATCCGAGAGCATGCCGGTCTGACGGCCACGAAGTTCATGTGCCAGGAGGGCGGATGCGGCGTCTGCGTGTGCACTCTGACCGGCATCCATCCGGAGGCGGGTGAGGTGCGCACCTGGGCCGTGAACTCGTGCCTCACGCTGCTGAACACCTGCCTGGGACTGGAGGTGACCACCGCAGAGGGTCTGGGCAACAAGCGGGTGGGCTACCATGCCATCCAGGAGCGGCTGGCCAAGATGAACGGCACCCAGTGCGGCTACTGCTCGCCGGGCATCGTCATGAACATGTACGGGCTGCTCAAGTCGAAGGGGGGTCGCGTGACCATGGAGGAGGTGGAGAACTCCTTCGGAGGCAACATCTGCCGCTGCACCGGCTACCGCCCCATTCTGGATGCCATGAAGTCCTTTGCGGTGGACAGCAACATTCAGATTCCCACGGAGTGTGCGGACATTGAGGATCTGAGCACAAAGCAGTGCCCCAAGACGGGCAAGCAGTGCGCCGGCACCTGCAAGAAGCAGTCGCCCAAGGGGAGTCAGATCTACCTCGATGGCAGCCGCTGGAGCTGGCCCGAGAGCCTCAGCCAGCTCTTTGAAGCCCTGCAGAGCGCCGTCAAAGAGAAGCTGCCCATCATGCTGGTGGCCGGCAACACGGCCCACGGGGTGTACCGCCGCAGTGCGGACATCAAGGCATTCATCGATGTGGGAGGTTTGGCAGAGCTCAAGGGACACAAGCTGGATGCTGGCTCCCTCACCCTCGGGGGTAACTTGAGCCTCACTGAAACGATGGACATTTGCCGACAGCTGGAGCAGACCAAAGACTTCGAGTACCTGGCCCAGGTGTGGCAGCACCTCGATTNGGCCGTGAACTCGTGCCTCACGCTGCTGAACACCTGCCTGGGACTGGAGGTGACCACCGCAGAGGGTCTGGGCAACAAGCGGGTGGGCTACCATGCCATCCAGGAGCGGCTGGCCAAGATGAACGGCACCCAGTGCGGCTACTGCTCGCCGGGCATCGTCATGAACATGTACGGGCTGCTCAAGTCGAAGGGGGGTCGCGTGACCATGGAGGAGGTGGAGAACTCCTTCGGAGGCAACATCTGCCGCTGCACCGGCTACCGCCCCATTCTGGATGCCATGAAGTCCTTTGCGGTGGACAGCAACATTCAGATTCCCACGGAGTGTGCGGACATTGAGGATCTGAGCACAAAGCAGTGCCCCAAGACGGGCAAGCAGTGCGCCGGCACCTGCAAGAAGCAGTCGCCCAAGGGGAGTCAGATCTACCTCGATGGCAGCCGCTGGAGCTGGCCCGAGAGCCTCAGCCAGCTCTTTGAAGCCCTGCAGAGCGCCGTCAAAGAGAAGCTGCCCATCATGCTGGTGGCCGGCAACACGGCCCACGGGGTGTACCGCCGCAGTGCGGACATCAAGGCATTCATCGATGTGGGAGGTTTGGCAGAGCTCAAGGGACACAAGCTGGATGCTGGCTCCCTCACCCTCGGGGGTAACTTGAGCCTCACTGAAACGATGGACATTTGCCGACAGCTGGAGCAGACCAAAGACTTCGAGTACCTGGCCCAGGTGTGGCAGCACCTCGATTGGATCGCCAACGTTCCCGTTCGCAATGTAAGTCGATGGACAAGTGTCTAGTTATCTGCCTGATAAGCTGTAAGCTCTTCTCCAGCTACTCGAATTATCGCTTGTCGCTTATCAATTTGTTTTTCATTAACCCAGGCCGGCACCTTGGCGGGCAATCTGGCCATCAAGCATGCCCACCCGGAGTTCCCCTCGGACGTGTTCATTGTCCTCGAGGCCCTGGACGCACAGGTGATTGTCCAGGAATCGTTGGTCAAGCAGGCGACTGTCAGCCTCGCCAGCTATCTGAAGACACCGATGGAGGGAAAGATCATAAGGGGAATAGTTCTCCCTGCGTACCCCAAGGATCGTTTTCTGTTCGACTCCTACAAGGTGAGATCTATCAGAGGATAGATAACCTTATAGTTATGTAACTCACTTGTTTCCCTATCCTTAGATCATGCCACGTGCACAGAATGCTCATGCCTATGTCAATGCCGCTTTCCTGCTCGAGTTGGACAACGCTTCAAAGGTGAAGACTGCGAGGATTTGCTTTGGTGGCATCAATCCGGAGTTTGTCCATGCCACGGCCATTGAGAAGCTGCTGCTGGGACGCAATCCCTATGAGAATGGACTGGTGGAGCAAGCCTTTGGCCAACTGTCGACTATTCTGAAACCCGATGAGGTGCTGCCCGATGCCTCGCCTGTGTACCGACGCAAACTCGCCTGCGGACTCTTCTACAAGTTTCTGCTGAAGACGGCAGCACAGAGGAAACAGGGAGTGGGCAGTCGCTTCGCTTTGGGTGGATCTCTGCTGCAACGGCCCGTGTCGAGTGGAAAGCAAAACTTTGAGACCTTCGAGGAGCATTATCCAGTGACCAAGCCTACGGAGAAGCACGAGGGACTTATTCAGTGCTCAGGGGAGGCAACCTACGCCAACGATCTGCCCAGTCAGCACAATCAAGTGTGGGCAGCCTTTGTCACAGGCAAGAAGATTGGTGCGAAGGTCACGAAGGTTGATCCCCAGCCGGCACTGGCTCTGCCCGGAGTTGTGGCCTATCTGGATGCCAAGGACATTCCGGGACCCAACTACATTGGCCCCAAGACCCGTGACGCGTTCTTCTTTGCCCAAGACGAGGAACTCTTTGCCACTGGCGAGATAAAGTACCACAATCAACCAATCGGTATGATTGTCGCCAGCTCCAACTTATTGGCCCATCGTGCCGCAGAATTGGTGAAAGTGAGCTACGACGGAGGCTCCAAGGAGGTGCTAGCCACTCTGAAGGATGTACTGGATAAGGTGGGCGCCTCATCAAGCGATCGTCTCGAGCATAAGGTAAAATCCACGCTGGAAAACCTCGACCTGGGGGGGGAACACTTCGATGTGAGTTCCTCCGGACAGCTGGACATGGGCCTGCAGTATCACTACTATATGGAGCCACAGACTACAGTGGCTCTGCCCTTCGAGGGAGGGATGCAAGTATATGTAGCCACGCAGTGGATGGATCTGTCGCAGGAAATCATTGCCAACATTCTCAACCTAAAGGTGAACGAGGTGCAGGTGAAAACCCGCCGCATTGGAGGCGGATACGGAGGCAAGGCCACACGCTGCAACCTCGCCGCTGCGGCCGCTGCTGTCGCTGCCAACAAACTGAATCGTCCTGTGCGCTTTGTGCAGTCGCTGGAGTCCATTATGACTACCATTGGCAAACGTTGGGCCTTCCACTGTGACTACGATTTCTTTGTGCAGAAATCGGGCAAGATTGTGGGAATTGTCAGTCGCTTCTTCGAGGATGCCGGCTACTTGTCCAACGAGTCTCCCATGGGACACGTGGTGATACTGTCCAAGAACTGCTACGAGTTCAGCGATAACTACAAACTGGATGGCTTCCTGGTCTACACGGACTCCCCCAGTAACACTCCCTGTCGTGCTCCTGGGTCTGTGGAGGGCATCGCCTTGATTGAGAACATCATCGAGCACATTGCCTTCGAGACGGGGCAGGATCCCGTGGATGTGCGCTATGCCAATATGCTGCCCGCTCACAAAATAAGTGAAATGATGCCAGGATTCCTGAAGAAAACGCTCTATAAGGAACGTCGAGCGGATATTATTGCCTACAACAAGGAGAATCGCTGGCGCAAGCGCGGATTGGGTCTATGCGTTATGGAGTACCAAATCGGCTACTTTGGACAGTTCCCCGCAACGGTGGCTATTTACCACAGCGATGGCACTGTGGTGGTCTCCCACGGAGGCATTGAAATGGGTCAAGGCATGAACACAAAGATATCGCAGGTCGTGGCCCACACTCTGGGCATTCCCATGCAACAGGTGCGCATTGAGGCCAGCGATACCATCAATGGAGCCAACTCAATGGTCACTGGAGGCGCTGTGGGCAGTGAATCTCTCTGCTTTGCCGTGCGAAAGGCCTGCGAGACGCTGAACTCTCGCCTGGCGCCGATCAGGGAGGAGGTGAAACCCTCCAACTGGCAGCAACTCATCAATGAGGCTTACAATCGCAAGATCAACCTCATTGCCAGCGATCAGTGCAAACAGGGCGACATGGAGCCGTACTCGGTGTGCGGCCTTTGCCTCACGGAGGTGGAGTTTGATGTGCTCACTGGCAACTATCTGGTGAATCGCGTGGATCTAATCGAGGACACTGGTGAGAGTCTGAATCCCAATGTGGATATCGGACAGATCGAAGGCGCCTTCATGATGGGTCTGGGCTACTGGACCAGCGAACAGATTGTGGTGGACAAGCAGAGCGGCGAATGCCTCACCAACCGCACCTGGACCTACAAGCCCCCAGGCGCCAAGGACATTCCCGTGGATCTGCGCATTGAGCTGCTGCCCAAGAGCCCCAACAAGGCGGGCTTTATGAGGTCCAAGGGTGAGTTGAACATCACATGTTCCTGCTCGAGTTGTAGTAACTAAATTTTCACGTTTTTCAGCTACTGGTGAACCTGCGATCTGTTTGTCCATCGCGGTGGCCTTTGCCCTGCAGCAGGCGCTGCAATCTGCCCGCGATGATGCCGGTGTGCCCAAGGCATGGGTCACCCTTACTGCTCCGATGACGCCTGAGTTGCTGGTTTTGCATGCCGGCACCGAGACCAGTCAGTTTAAGCTAAGCTAGAGCAGAATGCTTTCTATTATATGCACAATACATTAAAAACTTATCCAACTCTTAATACAAGTGGAGTGGTGGCTAACATTCTTTTTTTGAACACTTATCACTAGCAACAGCTTCGGCCGGAAACACACCACGCTCAAGGAGCACAGTCTCTCAGTTGGTTATCTTATGATGGAAGAGATTTCTGATGTGAGACTAAGCGAAAATGAACAATATCAGCGCCTATTAATTCTAATTTTTAACTCAAATAAATTCTATAATGCAGCAGCTGCAAGGTGAGTGGAATTAATAGCGCCATAATCCAGTGAATATATAATTGTACGGCGTGGTTGTGCCCTTCTCTGCAGCCAAGGGTAACACACATATGTACATCAACACATGCCTGCAGCTAGCACAATTCCTTGCTCTGCGAATTATCTTGCAACTGTAAAGCTTTCGTCTCTTTGCGGTTCTCTAGCAAAGAGAAGAACTTCGTCTCTTTGCGGTTCTCTAGCAAAGAGAAGAACTGCGCATTTCCCATTTTGTTTAGAAACTCGAGCAAAACAGAAAGTGGTAAACAAACAGTAGATAAGCATGCCCCGTGAGTGGGCATCAGTATATATAAGTATAGCCAGAGAATGAGGAAGAATGGTAAAGAGATCGCGCGATAACCATTCAGCACATGCATACACATGTACACACACACATACGCATATGTAACATTTAGAGAGACGCGACCCACGCGAGAGGAGTGTGCTCTCAATCGAACAGCAGTTAAAAGCCCAGAGCCGGCGCGAGAGCGGAGAACTTGAGCGCGTGAGAACTTTTTGGGCTAGACATTAAAAGCTTGATGCGTACGGGACCTAACCTACAGTTGATCGGAGATTAGCTTGAGCACCACAAGGTTCGAACTTTCTCCAAGAAAAACATTGAACGACATTTAAATTCGAGAAAGACCTCAATCAGCTTTTAAGTAAAACAATTGGCGCACCTTGCAAGTGATTATACAAACACACAGATAATGGCTGGTAACAGCATTACAATCAACGGCGACAGATATGAGGGTGAGTATGTGTCCAGTTAATTGATTAATTGTTTACACTGCGCAAAGAGCTTTGACAGTGCGAACACTGACGTGTCTATCTGATACAGAATGAATTAGAATATAATTATTCGACTAATAATAAATATAGTAAAACAAGTGCACGAGATTCTGAATAATCTTCAACATATTTACAAAACAATTACATCTATACATTTTAATTACAAATCTTTAAAATATTTACATTGTTTGTGCATTCAAAACGTGAGCCCAACGTTTGGCACTTGGAGTTCCAGGGAAAATTGGCTTACCAACCCTTTCCATCTTAAATTCAATTTTTGCCCTTAAGTTATTTATAAAACATTTATTATTCCCATAACCGATACTCCTATAAAATTAACCATCATTTTAAACATTTTTGGCTTCTTGAAGTGGCCTATAAATGTTGATTAGATAAACCAAAACTGATGCAATATTTTCTCTGCCAACAGTTAATCTGGCTGCCCTGCCTGCGGACATCTCGCTGAACACCTTCATCCGAGAGCATGCCGGTCTGACGGCCACGAAGTTCATGTGCCAGGAGGGCGGATGCGGCGTCTGCGTGTGCACTCTGACCGGCATCCATCCGGAGGCGGGTGAGGTGCGCACCTGGGCCGTGAACTCGTGCCTCACGCTGCTGAACACCTGCCTGGGACTGGAGGTGACCACCGCAGAGGGTCTGGGCAACAAGCGGGTGGGCTACCATGCCATCCAGGAGCGGCTGGCCAAGATGAACGGCACCCAGTGCGGCTACTGCTCGCCGGGCA